AGGGGCGTGACGGGGAGGGGCGTGACGGGGAGGGGCGTGACGGTGCGCGCGGTTTGAGCCAGCTGTCTCAAGCGTGCGAGCCATAGGCTACCCGGGGCGCGTGACCAGGCGAGCTACGGGGCGCCGGAGCGGCCAGTTACCGCCGCTTCGCCCTTGCGGGGAGGCCGCACGCCCGCCCGCCGCCATGCCGCGGTACGCGCAGCTGGTGATGGGCCCGGCGGGCAGCGGGAAGGTGAGGCCGGGGGGTGGGAGGCGGCGGGGAGGCGACAGCGGCGCGGTCGGTCGGTCGGTGCCTGACGGCCTGCGTGTGCTTTGCAGAGCACGTACTGCGCCACCATGGTGCAGCACTGCGAGGCGCTGGGCCGCGCCGTGCAGGTGGTCAACCTGGACCCGGCGGCCGAGCTCTTCAGCTACCCCGTCATGGCAGGTGAGCGGCGGGAGCGGCGGGAGGCTGCCTGCGGTCACCCTTGGTAAGCGAACGGCACTAAAACCGCCTCGTTGTTCCAGACATCCGTGAGTTAATCGAAGTGGACGACGTCATGGAAGATGAATCCTTAAGGTTTGGTCCCAATGGCGGCTTGGTGTTTTGCATGGAATACTTTGCCAATAACTTTAACTGGCTAGAGGAAAGCCTTGGGCATGTGGAGGATGACTATATATTGTTTGATTGCCCAGGTAAACAAATGTCCATGTTTTGGTATCGTTCTTCATGTGCACTATGAAATTTGCAGTACTTCTGTTCTGTTGGTTGTAATTGTTCACACGTTATTCTTTTTGCATTATTAACAGTTGTCAGAGTCACTTTCAGATGTTTCAGAAGTGGTCCCACGCTAGTCTGGGTGACTGCACTGACATCTGACAGCATCATATGGTGTGGGAACACTATGGCAGCTGCTAACTAACGCTCACTGGAGGTCACGGGAAGAGGAAAACCCTTTTCTTTCTTTTTCCACTTCACCAGTATAAGTTCACCCAAATACAGTCAGAGTTGTCTGAAAAGAAGGAGAATACTTTCTTTATCAGCTTTTATTTATATTAAGTGCAACAGCCCTGTCTATATAATTGATAACTGTGAACTGTTCCTGTTAGCTTCACATTTCTGCGTACTAATATCCTAAGTGTGCCCTAGGTCAGATCGAACTCTATACACATCTGCCAGTGATGAAACAGCTGGTGGAGCAGCTTCAGCAGTGGGAATTCCGCGTCTGTGGAGTTTTTCTTGTGGATTCTCAGTTTATGGTGGAATCTTTTAAGGTATCCATTTGAAATCTGTTGTAAGAGTTAAGATTGATAAAGAACAGGAAATCTGAGCAATTTAGGGAGCTAGGTTTGTTTAGCCAAGAGGGAAGAACTCTAGGCCGGGGGAGGGCTGATTGCTGTCTTCAGCTGCCTCAGACACAGGTTGCAGCAAAGAAAACTCCAGTTGGATATAAAGAAAAAAATCCAGCACTGCAAGAGTGGTCAGGCTGGAACAGGGGCACAGAGAGATTGTGTAGTGTACGTTCATGGAGTTACTCAAAACTTGACTAGGCAAAAGCCCTGAGCAACCTGATCTGACTTTGAAGCTGGCTCTGGTTTGAGCAGTTGTATGAACCAGATAACTTCTAAAAGTCCCTTCCAACCTAAATTTTTCTGTGATTCTGAGAGCTTTCTCAGATCTGGAGAGAGAGCAGACCACTTTCCCTGTCTAGCAGTAAGAATTCCAAGACCGGCTTTGAGTTTTGTAATGGCCTTTTCAGTGGCAGATCCAGATTGGAAGCTCTGGAAATAAGATGGCAGATGGGAAGCTCCGCACCTCCCTTTTCCAACAGAGATAAGGACTCCCCACTTGGCCTCATGTCCATGTTTCATATATTCACTAGATTTGGTCTGTGGTAGAGTGTCCTGCACGTTTGTATTTTTTTCTGTACTTAACTACATCATTTTTCATATTCCTTAAGTTTATCTCTGGAATTCTGGCAGCACTCAGTGCAATGATATCGTTAGAGATTCCACAGATTAACATCATGACCAAAATGGATTTGCTGAGCAAGAAGGCCAAGAAGGAAATAGAAAAGTAAGTTCCAAAAAAATTACTTACTCTGTAGTTTAATATCTGAAGGTGAACTTCACTCAAAGCGTTTCCCACAGTTAAAACATACTTTTGGAATGGAGAAGATGCATTTGTTTTATATCGAACATAGTCTTTAAGTCTGGACCAGATGCTTACAATTTAGTCAGAGACAGAAGGCTAGCTCCATGTTTGTACATGTGTCTGGATTTTTCTGTAAATAATTATCTTGAATCACTTATGTCATTCTGAATGACATTCCAGGGTACTGTACTTCAAAACCTAAACCGGAGGTGATCCTGTCAGTTTTTCTGATACTGAACATACTGAATTACTTATGTGTTACTTTTACATTTGTGCTAAAATTACAAAATTAAAAGTTTTTCCCCGTGGTCTTCCTCAAAGCTTTCTTGACTATACAAGTATATTAGCAAAAAGAAAATAAAAAATGCTTCAGTTGTTTCTACTAGCAGTTGTAATCTGAGACTTTCAAATACTTAAAAAAACTGGTTTTAAACATTTTAAGTTCTCCTGATAGGAAGTTAGTTTATTCAGATCACAGAATGATAAATGGTTTTGGTAGCTGTCTCAAAGCACAATGATTCATTTGCTCTGTGGCCAAGGATTCTTTCAGTGTTAATGATGGCTTTATTTCTTCCCAGGTACTTAGATCCAGATATGTATTCTATGATTGAAGATTCTACAAATATATTGAAAAGCAAAATGTTTAAAAAGCTGACTAAATCTATATGTGGATTGGTAGGTATATTGCATTTTAATGACTACCCCTAAATTTAGTCCTGTATTTATAAACCATACTGTATGGTTGCTGACTTAATTGCTGTTATACATACTGTATGTACCGTAATAATTCTCCCCTCCTCACCCCAAAACTATGTATTTACCTACCAGACTTAATTAACAAAGCCAGGATCTCAAAGATTCTCAGGCACTTGAGCATTTTACTTTTTGCCTGTTTTAACTCAGCTTTTGATTTTTTTCAGATTAGCATAAGATTCTTGATACTAATATTTGGATTGTAGCCACTAAGTTTCCTGTGAATTCTGTTCTGTTATCAATTTTGGAAAGCAGCTTTAGCTACTGTGTAGAAATTAGGACTGATAACCAGGGGTTCTGAGTGGGGAATTGCCACTGATTTGCAGCAGGGATTTAAATGGTATTTTAGCAGTCCAGACAAGGAATATTTAAGTTTGGTTTAAGGAAGGGGCTTAGAGTGATTTGAGAACTAATTTACTGTGTTTTCTTACTAATGCCCTTTGAATCCTTTCTCTAGATTGATGACTATGGTATGGTTCGATTTCTACCTTTTGATCGCTCTGATGAGGAAAGTATAAATATAGTTCTGCAGCACATAGACTTCACCATTCAGTATGGAGAAGATCTTGAATTTAAAGAACCAAAGGTAAGGTACTTCTGATGGTAAGATGAAAATTTAAAAAGGATCCGTAATATCAGTTGTAATATAAATATGTTCTTTGCCTTGCTAATAAATTATTGTCTTAGTATGGTTCAAAATAAGCTATTGTCTTTTAGTGACAATGCTTACATTGTGTTCATTTACTATTACAAAAGTAAAATTCTTTAATATCATCTTGCATATGCAGACTGATCAAATGGTTGTGTTTAAAAGTAATGCTTTGGTTTTCAAAAATAATGGCATTTTAAACTTCAAAGGTCAGAAAGGACCATTAAGATCACTAAGATTTCTTCCTGCATGACTGTTCAAACTCCCCTGGTAATTCCTATGTTGAACCCATGTGTTGTATATGAGACATAGAATTTATTCCTAATCTATCGTGTAAAATACATGATAGAAGACTGCTGTGTTAAAATCTGTTCCAAGCCCGGGACTAGTTTTATTATTCAGCTCATAAATCCTAAGGAACAAGTCCAGTGCTTTTATTCCATTTTTTAATTCAGTTTTGTACTCTTAAGTATGCAGAATACCTGGATCTAGATTTTGACCTATACAATTTTGATAGCTCTAGAAACAGATTGCTTTTCAGAAAGTTGTGCTGCATGTTTTATGGAACCATATTAGAGATTGTTCCTGTTGTGGTTTCTAAAATAAAGCATCACAGAACAGACAATGTACAACAGCCACTAGGGAAAAGTCAGGTTCTACCTTTTTTGTTTTCTTTTTGGCAGGAATGCGAAGAAGATAAATCTGCTCTTGTGGATGAATACTTTCAAGATCATGTGGATGAGTAAAAGCTGTATGTTCAAAAATGGGAGGAAAATACCCTGCTTCTGTTAAAAACAAAAAAAAAGTAAAAGAGAAAAAGAAGTTTAAACATGTAAAAAAAAATCCACACAAAGCTACTTCTGTTTTGTCTGTAAGATAACTAAAATTTATAGTGAAAAGTGAGTTATATGACCTCATAACTATTTTAATAAACATTTTTTATTCTTATGTGTGTGTTATAAAATACATAGGCTAGCATTAGTACCTACCAAAGTTCCCCACATACAGATGTATCTCATTTAAGCATAGGAATGCTTGAACAAAATCTAGTAATTTGCAAAAGAGGCAAAGGCAAATACAAGTATGTTACAGATATTTCTCTCAACTACTGAGTAATTAATTAGTTTCATTATTAGCTGAGAGAAAGAATTGTTCTAAAGGGTGAAAATTGTATTTCATGAACTGAACCTGTATCAGGTGAAGAAATTACTGGCAGCTTCAAAGGGACATCTGGTCAGTGGGTGGTATCTCACCCTTCTTAAAAAACATGAGTATTTTACATTCACTTTGGAAGAGCCCAGGTTTTAAACCTTCTTAAGGCTGGTTTTTGTACAACTTGATGTGACTTTAAGTACTTGATACATTGATAACATCTTGAACACAGCACAACACTTAAATAAAATAAGCTTAAATAGATTTCAGTGATGGTCTTGTGCAGTCACTTTAAAAAGTGTGTTAGTTAATGAACAATTCAGCAACCATTAAGCAAGCTCCTTCTTGTCCTGAATAGAGAACTCATACCCCTACTATGTGACCTATTCAGAGAAGCAAAACTTCAGCCCATTATCTCCAAAGAACATAATCACCTAAGGAAATAAAGGCATGTAAAAACTGTCCTAGGAATTTTTCAGGGAAGTAGCATCAATTTTTGAATTGGATGTAGCTGTTAACAGACTGTTGATAATCAGATAATTCAAGCCATATGTGAAAGTGTACAGCTGAATTTACCCCTCACTGTTTATAGTTCTTTTATATATACAGGTGTTCCTGGGTCGTCTTGAGTGTTTCAAAATATGTTTTATTGCTTCTCCTAAAACATCTTAGACCAATTTATTAGCTGTATTCAGCTAGATTTCAGGATGTGCTTCTCTGCTGCTCATGTCAAAGTATGTATCAACCTTTCCTTTTCCTTAACCCTATGGAATGACATTTACTCATGGTGTCCTTGGATTAAAATATTTATCAAAAAGGGCCTCATGGTTATGAAATGCTAAACATCAGTGAACGCCTATATGTAGGCATATCATGTCTATATATAATACATAGTTCATGTATTAGAAATTAACCCCATCCTCAGAACATACGAGCAGCCAGATATTTCAGTAGAGTAAGAACAATTGATGTCATTTTGTAGGAGCAGCTTGCTTAGTTAGTTGATGTCTGAGTGCAAGGATACCCCTTAATGGAAACCAAATCAAGGATTGAATACTTGGAGGCAACTGCAGTTACCTAAACCTGGGCTATAATAGCAGCTTGGCACCGTTTAGTTTTGTAGTTTCTTGCTTCTAGTCGGGAAGGTGTAATTTTTTTTTTTACTCATCAGTAGGGTTGTTCTTCATGTCTGTTTAAATAAATGGTTAAATTGTCATACAGTTGATAAGGTGCTTATTTTTGAAGTAAAGATCTGCTTTTTCCAAAGCAGAACCAGAAGAGGCAGAGGGGTTCAACAGACCAGCAAATCCTGCACATGTAGAGGAAAAGGGCTCCCCAGAATCCATACGTGGACGTCAGGGAGGATCGCATGGGAACTTTTAAATGGTAACAAAGAAAAAATGGGTAATAAGATGTCACCCAAGAGCTATTAAAAGGGTTTTTCAAAGCCAGGTTTCCAAAAATTGCCAGCCTTATGACCTCTACAAGTCTCGTGATACTCAGCATTCCTAAAACCTTACTCCCAGCTCCAGGCAATTAGTGAATGCTGAGACCTCAGTTTCAAGATAGTCATTGCGGTCACCAGGAAGAGGTGAAAAAAAATCAGCTCTTCAGAGCTTTAAAACATGGGGCCAAAATCCCTGTATATATTTGGGTGTTAATAGTCACGGTGTAGGTTAACCTCATGATGGGGCAAGTCCTTATGCCCACACGGAGCTGATCGCATCACGGCAGGACCTGATCTGGCTGAATTAAACCATGCAAACATTGGGAAAACTTTGGTGGCTTAACTCATCTCCAGACTGGCACATCCTTGGGACGAGTCACGCTTGTGGCGTGACAAAAGGACAAATCCCAGCCCTGCAGTTAGATTATGTTGACTCACCTTCCATAGCTCCTCATTTTTCCTCCCTGACTCATGCCATAAGTCATTTAGCAGGGGACAAATTCAGCATGCTGGGTCACGCAAAAGGTCGTGGCTTGATACTAACAAGAGCGCACACCTTAAAAATATTGCATCCCTCCAAACGCAACACCTTTGGACGCACAGCCAGGTCAGAGCAAGCGATGCGCAGGACTGCTGCAAACACCCAGGAGAGAAAACCGGCTGCGAGCAAAGCATCCCCACCCGCGCTCTTGTCAAGTGCTGACCCTCGCCCGGGACAGGAGCTCGCCTCTGCCAGCGAGGAAGCAAGATGTCAGGGTGGCTGGCACCCAAAAGGGCGGCACGCAGGGTCCAAGAAGGGGTTACCTGCAGCGCCGGCCGCAGCAAAGGCAGAAGGGGGGGAAGAGCAAACAAGCCCCCATCTGAGCGCGCTTTCCAGACCCGCTTGCCCGCGCTGGCCGCGCTCTCGGGGCGGTGCACGCCGCAGGCCTCGGCTCCCGCTTCCCCTCCTCGCACCGCCTCTGCTGCCTCATTTCCTGCAGCGCAGGCAGAGGAGGAAGGTTTGCTGCCAGCTTCTCTCTGCTCCCTCCCTGCCCGGCCCCGCCGAATTACAGCCTGCCCTTCGAGATGCCGGTGAGGGGGGCTTCGCGGCCGGCGCTTGGCTCTGCCCCTTCATGGCGGGGAGAGAGGGCAGCAGGGCTTGGGGCAGAGGGGCCAGGCCGGGGAGGGGGCTTGGGGGGGGGACCTGGGCTGAGGGAAGAGGGCTCTGCTGTCGGGGTCCGGCCACGGGCAGCTGCGTGGGGGAAGAAGAAGGGGCTGCAGAGTGTGGGGAGCCCTGCTGAGAGCAGGGAGTTGCTGTTAATGGGAGGCTGGTGGAAGGCCAGCGCCCTCCTCTTCCTCTTCCTCCTCCTGCCGGGGAGCCGCCCGCAGCCGGGAGGGTGGCAGCGCTCGGCTCCAGCGAGGGAGAGGGTGGTAAAAGCTGTGCTTTGTTCTGGTTTTGTTCACACCACCTTCCTCTGGTTGAAATAAATCGCTTTTCTGTTAGGGGATGCTTTTTACACCACACCACCCCCCCCATTTGGATCCCCCTCTCCCCCCCTGCAAGACCTCGGCTGTGAGGAGGTGAAGGATTCCCAGTGGCCTGGCACGGCACAGTGGGAATGTTTGGAAAGTGCCTAAAAGCAAACTCATCAGTTGTTAAAAGTCGGTTTCCCAGGAATAATCTATCATATGCAGAAAGATTTTTTTTTTTCCCTTAGGCCAGTTTTAGAGTGCACAGAAAGGTCCTTTTCTGAGTGTGTGGATATGTGTTAAGCCTGGCTTTATTTATTATTAGCTAATATTACTAGCTAGACATGGAAATAAAATATAATCTTTTTTAATGGCCAGCTAACTTTCAGTGAACTATGCAGCACCCCATAACTTAGGCCGGAGAGCAGGGCTGTTACCCCCTTGGTGCTGTGCAGAATGGGGTTAGGCAGCCTGGGGATGAAGCAACACCTGCAGACCAGCCGTACCAATTTTATTCTGTCTCCCACCACCGCAACCATAAATGGTGCCAGTGATGATACTTCATGGTCTTCATCAGAATGGCGCTGTGATCTGGTGCTAATTAGAAAACAGCGATTGTTTGTGCAAGGAAAAATTGCTGGAAGCATCACTAATGAACTCGACTGACTCCTCTTTCATGAAGACATGGGGGACACGTGATTGGACATGGAGAGGTTTGTTTTCAGTAGCATTAATAACCAGCCTTCCCCCCTGTCTGTAGGCTTACCACTCAACTTTAATGGACTCCGACACAAAGCTAATTGGGAACATGGCGCTGTTACCCATCAGAAGCCAGTTCAAAGGCCCAGCACCTCGGGAAAGTAAGTTTATAATAATCTCTGAAAACCTGCCTGTATATAGCTCATCATCATCTCACGGTTTGCTCCAAGCCAGCCCTAGCAAGAGTGACGAGAGGAGTCACGGGTTGGAAGTGGAGTGCTTTGCAGTTTATAGAGGAGGAAAAAAGTTCTCAAATACTTAAGTTGTACAAATCGTAGAAAGTAATTATGCACAGATAAATACGCACCGTGCTCCAGCTAAATCAGTTGTTTCTGTAATTAAAGCCTACAGTAACTGTTCTCGTGCTTCCTCCTGTGTCTCACTGTGTTCTTCAGTAGGTTTTGCGGAGGACGTGGCGGTGTGAACCCTCTGCTGTCAGAGGAAGTGGAGGTTTAGCTACAGAGAACTTAGGCTTTGGGTCTGCAGTTGAAGGACAGGCAGCACTTTAGGGTACGGGGATTCAGAAATTGAAATGAAGTTATGGGTATCCCAACAGGGTCCACAGGCATGCTGGTACGGATTCCCCTTTAGCATGTGAGGTAGCACCTCCCAGGCATGTTGTCCCCCGGTAGTGTAGCAGTTCAGTTTGAGAAAGGAAATGTTTCTGGATTTAAGCAGTCTCGGATAGTAGCGAAAGCAGGTGAAAGTCACAACTAAGCTTACCAGTGTGTGGTCTGCTCACCCTTCCTTTTTTCTGAAGCGGATAATGAAGTTTGTCTGATTGTGGTGTTGTCCTTTCTCTAAAAACATTTTTGTGTCCTGAGAAGACTTTTATGCTGTTAAAACTCTGTTGAGTTACTCAACTGGTAGAAAAGTGGGGAACTGCTGAATTGCTGCCGTTTGTGAAGTGAGAAATCATGGGGGAGGAGAAGGGAGTTAAAGCTCCTGCTAAGAGTAGGAAGCTTAAATATTACGGTCTGA